CCATTTTGGGAGGTCCTGTGCCCATTTGTTTTTTGTGGCTTTTTGAAGGGAAACCACCATTTTGCAGGGCTCGGTGCCCGTTTTTATTTTTTTGGCTCGGTTGTAGACGGAACCCAACGGAAAACCACTCTGGTCGGGAAACGAGAAGGGGGCACCACCCATTTTGTGAAGTCTGATGCCTGTTTTTTTTTGGTGGTTGTGAGGGGAAGCCAAGGGAACCCCACCCTAGTAAGGCCTTATTAAGGCCTCATTTGTGGGACACAAGAGGGCTGTGATTGACGGGTGCCGTGTTTTTTTGTTCGCTCAGCAGCCAAACGCCGTCGTTGCTTTTTGAACGGCTCAAAATCAGTTACTACTGTGACTTGGGCTTATGTTTACACACACGCACACCCACACATCACACACGCACACACGCAGCGCAACATCTTGTCACTAAAGAGCTGTTTTCCACGGCACAGCAAGTTTGCCACAGCGAGTCACACGGCCATTACGTGTTAGGAGCAGGCTTGGCGTTTCGGCCGGCCGCTCCGCGCCATAGCAGGCAGTCTCCGCGCTTGGCGTTTCGGCCGGCGTTGACATGGCGACTTTCGTGAGCATCAGCGGCGACGCGCTGAATGCGCTGAAGGACGTGTACAGGAGAAACCTAAGCGTGCCCGAGCGCTTGGCTTCGCAGGAATGCGTGGCGTGCACGAAAGCCATAGCCGACGACAGGTGGCAAACAGAGCCAGGCAGACGCGAGCTGGAGCGCACAGGTGTGTGCGAGCGGTGCTGGGACACAATCCATGGGCCCGGCGTGTCGGACACAGCGGCTCAGCGGCAGTGCGATCGTCTGAGCATCAGTGGCGTGGAGACGTGCAGGCAGTGGATCATGTTCAGCAAAGTTCGCGAAGTCGCGCGCATGTCTTCAGAGCACGGACGACTTGCGTGGGAACTCATCTTGGGCCGCAGGCAGCTGCCACCTGCGACGTGATGTCACGCAGGCGTAGTCGTCGCTTGGCGCTTCGGCCGGCGACGCGCGCGACGTGTCAGCACGGATGTTGGCACCGACGGACGCGCTTGGCGCTTCGGCCAGCGTGCCTACGAGCGTGCGGAGCAGAGGGCCCGGAGTAGAAAAGATGGGGCCGCTTTGGTGAGGCTTGTTGTAAGACTTGTTCCTTTTTGCCACATGGTGTCACAGTCACAGGGCTCTGAAGGTTCCTACACCACCGGGGGGGGGAGGAAGCTGTTGCCAGGTAGCTGTCTTGCGATTGTGGTCCGACATGGGTGGCTTGCCAGGTATAGAGTTCGAGAGAGAGAGAGAGAGAGAGAGAGAAAAACAAAAAAAAAAAGAGAAAGAGAGAGAGAGAGAGAGCATAAATAGACAGATGCGCAGAACTCTGGAAAGCTGGTTGTGTGACTCGGGGGGTTCACTGCGCTCCGATCGGCTCCAAATCATAGTCACTGTCGTGTCTTGAGCAGGTTCTACACATACACACACACACACATACACGCACAGCAAGCACACGCACCCACGCATGCATTTTCGAGCACAACTGCTTTCGGTAGTTGCAGCGCGGCTTGGCGTTTCGGTCGGCCGTGCGATTGCGGGCGCCACGGACCCGCGGCTTGACGCTTCGGTCGGCCGTGTGATTGCGGGCGCCATGGCCTCCGCGGGCCAGCGGCCCATGGTTGTCAGGCCGTCCGAGCTGACGCAGCCTGGACGGCTAGACGGCGCTAAGCGACTGCTTGGACGCCTCGTGGAAGTAGAACACGTGCCCAACGCCCGCTTCGGGTGCTACCTCGTCTGCGGCCAGACGGCTCGCGACGTCATCGCCATCGAGGCGTGGCGCGAGCTGGCCGAACCCGCTGCCTCTCTTTTGAAGGCTTCGTGCGTGGTCAGCCTCACGCAGATCGCGCTGAGCAGGCGGCAGGCCTCGAAAGCCAAGTACACGCACAGCCAGTGCGACCTCTTTGTTCGCTTTGACAAAGGCGCCGGAGTCGAAGAGGAGACCACGCCGCCGCTGGAGCTGCCGGCCGGCACCAGGCCGCTTGCTGGAAAGATGGCCTCGTCAATGTTCGCGCAGAAGTCACGGGTGGGTTCTCCCGCGCGACAGACGACAAAGATCGCCTTTTCAAGCTCACTCTGCGCCAGCCCGGCAAAGCCGGCGAGTTCTCCGAGGCGGAAGTGCTCGCGTGGGGTGAGCTAGCGACAGCGGCAGAACAGGTGCCGCGACCGGCCATGATGGAGCTCCGCAATCTGGCGGTGACCAAGCACGCAAAGAACGGCTTCACCTTGAAGTGGCTCAAGCAGACCGCCGCGTGCGCCCTGCCTGCGGTCGAAGCGGAAGAGCTCCGAGCCAACATGGCTGGCCGCGAGCGCTGCAAGACACTATCCCTGCGCGCTGGCGGCGCTGCCGCGCGAGACTACGGCGCCGGACCGGCGACTTTGGTCTCGCTGGCGACGCTCGGCGCTTTTTTGCCGGCGGCCGAAGCGAAGAAGTTCTCTCACGAGGACGTGTGGGAGGCACCGTTCTGCACGCTGGCTCACCTGCAGACCTTGTCCCGGGTGCCGGAAGACTCTTGGCACTACACAGGCTGCGCCACTTGCTTTCGCAAGACTTGCGACAAACACGACGAAGCTGGCGTCCGGCCGTGCTACAGCCTGGAGGCTACTGTGTGGGATCACACGGCCACGCTGGACGCGAGGATCTTTACCAAGTGCGTCGACGAAGTGCTGCGTGCTGCCTTGGCATTTCGGCCGGGCGACGCGGTACAGTCGCGAGAGAATGCGGAGCACGAGATCCGAGCCCGCAAGTGGGCTGTGCGCTTCGTCGTGGCGCACGACGAAGCGTACTCTGGACCGACTGGCTCTCGCGCCGCGCGCAACACCTTGCAAGTGGTGCATGTTCGCGAGGCTCCGCTTACCTACTCGGGCTCAGCAAAGCCACTCCTGTGCTTGCGCGCGGCCGCCTCACTCCCGGGCTGCCCATGCATCTACTTGTCAGACGCGACCTTGGATGACGCAGGGCAAATTACGGCAGGTGAGGATCTGCCAGTCCAGTATGCGGAGCTCTTACTGCGAGTGACGGCCAAAGATCCTGTGCAGGAGTGCAACGAAGCCGAGCGCGGAGTGCGAATCGTCTTCGAGTGCGCAGACGCCACGCAGCCAGATATCCGCGCGGACCTCATGTGGGTGGTCAGCGTCAGAGACAGCTTGGCCATCGCGCGACAGCGGCCTGACACGCTGTTGCGGGTGGTTGCAAAGCCTCATGTTCTGTTCGACACGGACGGCGAGCCTTCCTTGCGTCACTGGCAGGTGATCTTCCAGTTTCCGGCTGCGGACGGAGATATCGAGCCGTTTGCCCGCCGTCGGGCGTGGCAGCTTTCCTTGGACTCCCAGCCCAGCCTTGAGATCAAGCGTCTTCAGGAAGACGCCATGGCAATGACTCCGTTGACTAAGGTTGCCAGAGTAAAAGAGGCTTTGACCTCGCCCAGCTTTCGTGCTTGATGACGCGCGTGCCGTTTCGGGCCGCGCGTTCGTGTCGGCGCGTGCCGCGTCGGGCCGCGCGCTCGCGCGGACTGCTGCACCGCTGAAGCAGACGAAGAGAAAAGCCTAGCTTTTGCGCTTGACACGCGTGCCGTTTCGGGCCGCGTGCTCCAGCCCAGACTACAGCACGGCTTGGGCAGACGCAAAGAAAAGGCGCTCTCGGGGGGGAGGGAGGAGAGTTGAACTTGAAGCGCTCGTTGGGAGCTTTGGAAAGGGAAAGAGAAGAAAGAGAGAGAGAGAGAGAGAGAGAGAGAGAGAGAGAGAGAGAGAGAGAGAGAGAGAGAGAAAGAGACAGAGAAACAGAAAGAGAAAGAGAAAGAGAAAGAGAAAGAGAGAAAGAGAGAAAAAGAGAGAGAGAGAGAGAAGCAAGGGGCCAAGGACAGCTCTCCAAACTATAGTTGTTCACTGCTTTGAAACTTCCGCCCCCCGGCTCTGCCGGACCTTACTTGTATATATATATATGTTTTTAACAAAAAAAAAAAGAAGGAAAGAAAAAAAAGTAAATCATTTCGGAGGAAGCTGCAAGAAAGGGAAAAAACCAGAGGGCTGGGCTCCAGGTGTCTGCGCGTGAGTGGACCCGATCCACCAACTCGAGAAAAGTGAAGTGACACGGTACCAAAAGAGACACGACATCTTTCGCTTGAGCTGGACTGGAGTGGTTGCAAGCAACCCTGGGAAGGTTGCACTGGTTTCCGGTTGGGGGGCAGAGGTGGGGCAATGATGATGTTCTCGCCAGTGCAACACCTTGGGGATGTGGGGCAGGAGCTAATCTTCCCGTGACTGAAGAGACCTCTTACGAATAGCGCGGCATTGTTCCCTTACTCCAGGCTCGGGAGTCAGGTCAAGCTACTGCCTCACATCAGTCTTTGAGCCTAAGCACAAATGATTGCAAACGGCAAAAACCGAAAAACCAACAGACATCATGTTCCTTCCACTCATTGCATCTCAAATTTGAATCTATTCCAAAACGTGACTTAGAGCACCCGGTGCACACGGCTCAATTTCTTGTAGCTCAGTTGCCTGTGGCGGGCGCAGTGGTTCTGCGTAGCCCAGCAAAAGCCCGGAATGAGCATTTGGTTTGACTTCGTGCAAGCGTCTCAGATGTGCGCGAGGCTTTGTACCGCGCGCTGACGAAGGAAAGTACTGTAACAGACAAGGTGAATTGCCCGGAGCGAGCGCGAACATCATCCAAGGTGAGAAGCCATTTGCGTGTCACGGCGCACACATCGTATGGAAATACCACCCAAAACGATCTGAACAAAAGTCATCCCCGCGCGCCAAATCATACCACACAGACTTAGAGCAGCCACAACCAAACGCAAATCCCACGCTGCAACCCACCAGACTGTTAGCCCAGCCCCAGCATCCTGTTCCCCATATGGCCCCAATGATCGTGACCACTTCGGTTTCATTCACGCTATTTCTCTCATAGCCGTGCAACGCCCCGCCCCGCCGAAACCCAAGCCCCGCATGC